GCTGCTGAAAGCAGGTTTCTGGCCTTTGTTTACCTTCTGTATTTGAAACAATGTTGCGGTCCTGCTGGCTGAAGCCTGGCTGACTGAAAGGAGGTTTCTGGGGTTTTGTTTAGCTTCTATATTTGTTACAATGTTTCTTAGAGAGCAGCTGAGAGGCCGGCAAGGCAGGTGGGGAACCTGGCTTCCTCCGTCACTGGAGCAAGCAAGCCTCCCTGTTCGAGTCAGCTGCCTGGCTGCCGGCCGCCATCTTGGTTGGCAGTTAATTTGCATATCTTCAGTGATTACCAATGGGAAGGGTAGCGGCCGTATGGCTAATTACCATGTTTCTCTTTTATTAGATAGGATTTATTATAGCATATATTATTATATATGCAGCACTAACTTTTCCCTCAAGCCTCAATCTCAAAAAGCTAGATCATTTAAAAATTTTCCAAATTTTATTTTAAAATTAAATTAAGTCTTAATCAGATGATCTGGACAATATGTCACATATAGGGTCACATAGTACACATATGTGCAATCCAGAATTATATCCCTATTTTCAAAGAGCACATTCTAAAGATATCTTTTTTTAAAAATCTTCCTACACTACCAGGTATATCAAAATGATTTGTGCATAAACAGGAATTTGTTTCAGATATTAACTATTTCTGCCAGTTGCCCTCCTATCTCTCCAATACTCTGATTTTTTCAATTCTTCTGATTTGTAAAGGTTGAAGTTATGAATCTTAGCTTTTTTCCTCTTATTAACTTCTGGTTCTCTCTGAACAAGGAGACTGACAAAGCTGGGAAGACAGGGGTAGAGGTGGCTGTGACAGCTGAATCTATTCTGGGTTGGCAAAGCAAACCCAACATTTGAAACCAAAACTCTTGGATATCAAGTTGGAGGATGCCTTGTATTCATATCATCAACTGGTTTGACTTCAATTTTTATCAAAAGTTAAACCAAGCTGAGGTGCATTTTGTCTGTTGCAATGAAAGGACAGAGAGGCTAGAGCTCTGAGTGGTGGGTCTGATTGGTAAGGCTGGTTTCATTAAGTAAGTGGCTCATTAAGTGTGCTACAATCACATCACCATCACCACTAAAGCCAGAATCAGCAGGCACAGCACTTGTACATGACATCATATTATTCATCACAAACATACCTCTTCCACGGGGCATTTTTGCTGTGCACTATTCATGAGTGCTAAGGGAAAAAAAGAAGGGGTTATAGAAGAAGAAAGGGAGAAAAAAGAGTGAACCCAGTTGCTTATGCTCTAAAAGGAATTTGAGAGCAAGACTGTCTCACCATGCCACTCTGCATACTTCTACAGAATGGAAAAGTTGATGAACCACAGTTTCAGGGAGTAAAGAAGTATGCTGTGGCAAAGACATGTCTGTACAGACCAGACATCCACACTCATAACCACAGTAAACAAAAAAAAAGAAATCCACCTATAGTTTTTAACAACAGTGCAAAAAATATCCCTAAAAACCATTCTGCAAAATCAATTTGCAACTTCAATAGGAATCAATATTAAAGTATACATAATACTTAAAAGGAAATTCAGTATTCAATTTACATCATTTTAAATCAGTTGCTTGTTACTTGATTCAGCCCTTGCACACTACAGGCCATTAGTAAGAGGCCCCCACTGGTTAGCAGAGTGGCATTCCCACCCTGGAAGTAGCCAAATGAGGGCGAGAAGGTCTCCCAAACATAACTCACAGATCTCTGCATCCTTTCAGAAGCACTGCCTTCTCCTTTCCTGCTCCGATTTTTTTCACATTCACTCATTTGTGAAATTTCTTTTCCCTCTTGATCCCCATAGAATGACTGGCTCTTTTTGTCAGTGTTGAACAAGTTTAGCAGCTAGAAACACTTTAGATGTTCATGGCAGGTTTTCATGTAGTATTTCACACTCTTCCGGCAAATTTCTTAACCACCCACTTAATCCATTCTCACTTTCCCAGATTAAACAGATTTGATGTAGTTGTTGCCAGGAAAACTGAATTTGCCACCAAAGCCCATACAGACAGGGCTCTTAACCCCTGCAACAAACTGCTGCTAGTCTCTTGTACATTTTGGATTAAACCACAGTATAAAGGCAATATGTTCAATTAAAGCTGTTGTATCATTTTACAGAATTATTTTGAAACTTTTCTAACTCATATAGTTAAATTCTAAGTACAAAACAAATTAATATTCAGCTGTTCATAAAATACTGAGACCTGGATTTGCAATATTAGTACTAATAAAGACTCTGCCTATGCTCCATCAGGATCATAAGCATGAAAGGACCCTCAGTGATCATCCTACTCCAACCTTACAGATGAGGAGACTGAGACACAGAGAGGTTAAATGGATTATCCCAGGGCCTATAGCCCATTACAGGAAGGGCTGGGGGCAGTTTGTTCCCTGAAGCTGTTTAACTCCTTGTGGAGCCAGGAGAGCTGGATGCTTCTCCTGATTCTCAATAATTCAAAAATATCGATAAAATGATGGTCAGAAGAAATAAACACACAGAAGGATCATCTATATATATAAAAGCCTAAGCAACCATCCGACTGGTAGCTATGATGCGCAATGACCACCAGGGGGCAGACGCTCAACACAGGAGCTGCCAAGCAACAGCAGAGTGCCCTCTCACACTCTGGGACCCCTTGGGAGCTGTGGGACTGTTGGTTTCAGCTCGATCCCCACAAAGCAGGCCGAGGGACCCCATCTGCTGGAAGGATCCCGCTTACTCAGCAGACATCCTTCGAGCCCTGGCGCCACTCCAGGTGCATCCAGCCAGGGAAGGACCATGGGAGGTTGGCTCCAGGGCATGTCCAGCTCATCTCGCCCAGTCCCGCCCCATGGGCCACCTTCTAATTAATTTCCTTTCAATGAACATGGATCCATGCACTGGGCCTCTAGTTATATTATAAGCTTCCTTGCTATAATCCTTACCAATGAAAATCACAATAATAAAAAA